GAACCTAAAAAGTTTGAGTCGTCCGCCTGTTTTATACAAACAAGGGCACTCGAACCCCTATTCCTACTGGATAACCTATTGAGTAAATAGCCAACAAACATTGGTGAATCAAGGGGTCTAGCCGGCCTACGCCGCCTGATACCTTTACTACTCAATCAATATTGTGACGAAGACTAAGTAACTCCTATGTTAACTTAATAGTCACTCAAACTTAGTACTGAGCCTAAAAGGTACGAGTCGTCCACTTGTTTTTAATAAACAAAGGCTCTCAACCAATACTCTTGCTAGGTTAACAAATAACAAATTAGAGGCCAACATTGGCAATAAAGGGAAACAACCGGTACCCGCCGCTTGTTTTCCTACTTAAATTCCTTGGCTACTTGGTAATTCTATTTACTTGGTCAAATTGAATAAAGAGTTCGAATACCGATTGATTAAATGGCCGACTGATCATCTATCCTGGAAACAGACAACCAGTCGTCCAGGGGCATAGGCGGCATACTTACTATTAGTACCTGTCTTAACGTTCGACCATGCACAACAGTCTGTCTAGTGAGCAAATTTCAAATACTTAGACAAATTTGAACAAAAACAAAAAATTTGATTAAAATGAGCCGGCCATAAAAGACCAGCAGAATATTCAAAACCCCGGCCCCCTGGCCGGGTAATTACAAAGCAAACGGCACGCAGGCCGTGAAAAAAAAAAAAAAAAAAAAAAAAAAAAAAAAAAAAAAAATATATACTTAAAGCTTAAGAAGGGGGCAGTTCAGTATCAGCAGCAGCCGCCTGGTCAGCACTCTTCTTGCTGGACTCGGCCTTAGCTGCATCATCTTTTGATGCCTTACCCCCAAGTGGCACAAGCGCCACAACCGGCTCTTCCTCCTCCAACGCAACGTCCATCGCCTCTTCTTCAGCAGCCGCCAGGATCTGTTGATTATATATTTCCGAACACTGGCGGTACGTTCTTTCCCATGAGGCAAAGTCGGCACTGGGGAACAGTCGTTCCCAGGTCATGCGTTGGATTTGGGCGGAGTCTTCCACCATCTCCCGGACGAGCTCTTGTTTCTCTTGCTCGGCCTTGTCCGAGAGCTCTTGGGTAAGACTCTTCTCCTGGTTCACCAGGCGTTCTTTTACGTTAGCCAAAGATTTCTCCATGGCTTCGTAAGAGTGCATTTTCTGACGAAGGGGCTTCAGCTCGGCTTTAAGTTTGGTGACGGTCCCCTCCAGCTCGTCAACCTTCTTTTGGGCCGCCTCTAGCTGAGCCCGAACAGCGGCGGTCGCCTGCGCCTGATAATAAAGAAGATCAATGGTCAGTACTTCATTTTGGGCAATTTGAAACATTGCTTTATCACAGCTGGAGGCGGCCATAGCCTTTGCGGCCTTTACCTCTTTGTTTTTCCGATCAATCGGCTTGCGAAGGCTGTTGACTCGGAGCAGGGCCTAAGTACAAAGAAAAACAGGCGTCAGTTTCCAATCATAAGGGTTAACAGGCGTCCTGGAACTTCAAAAGGGTATACCTCAGCTAGGATCCCCGAAATTCCATCGAGGTCAAGGGTGCCGGCACCCTTGACCGCCTCCCTGTCAGAGGGAGGAACTACTTTAACCATTGACTTGGCTACCTCAACCAAGTCAAGTCCCTGGGGGCCGGCTGCATTAAGCAGAAGGAAAAACAAGTTAGACCTAATCAAGAAGGAAGCAAGAGTGAGTTTTTACAAGCAAATTTCCATACATCTAGGCGGCCCCGCCTGGGTTTTTGAAGAAGTGGCCGGCTGCTTCTCAGCCGCCACTGTTTTCCTGGAAGACCCAGGAGAGCTTGCAACAGTCGTTCTCCGGGCCTTGGGGTCCGGCTGTTGCGAGGAAGAAGCCCTTGGAGTGCCAGACTGAAAACAAAAAGAGTTAGTATATGCATAATACAACTTAAAGGGGAAGAGTTTTTAAAGCTTACCAAGGGTGCCTCCTTGCTGGGGGAGTCGGCGTACGACTGCTTCATTAGCGAAACCCGCAGCATGGCCGCCGCAGTCTTAGATGCTGTTATTCTACTCATGGCGTCGGCTGAAAGAAATAAACAGCAAAGTTAGTAAAAATCCCAAGTAAACAAGGCGTGAGAAAACAGAGTATTCGTCAGGCCGGCTACCTCTAGAGCACCGACTGCCGAGGCCACAGGCGGCCAAGAAGTACTCATCATAGAGCCACTTGAAGCTCGGGACGCAGTGTAGGGGTACTTGCTCTCGTACCCCTGAAGTAGAGTTCACCCTAGTCTCTACTTTGAAGAGTCCTTTGTCTAGGATCTCTCTTTTAGCCTTTGGGGGAACAGGCGGCATGCTGCGGCCGCCTGCAAGAAGAGGCGGATCCCTGTTCCACTTGTTAAAACGTTTGTTCAGCTCCGTGTCTGAACTCTCGATAATAAGGAAGGTGTTCCGCCAATCCTTCCATTTGTTTGCCTTACCTCTCGTCATGAGGTAACCCCTGTGGCTTGTTAGTTGATACCAGCCGGTACCTCCCGACTTAGGGGTCCGGCTGAGATAGTTCATGTGGGCGAAAGCCTCAAAACTTGGCTCCACCCCGTTCAGTTCGCACCCGGCCACATAGCCGAGTACGTTTACCCAAGAGTTGGGGGCTAACTGCCATAACCCCAGATCATACCCATCTAAAATCCGCTGAACAGCCGGATGTAATGGGAAGCGCAGACCAGCTTTGATGGCCGCCACATAGCAGCCAAAACAGCCGTCACCATAGCTGGTACCAGCCGGCCAGACGACAGTATCTTCTGGATCCGGCACAAACAGTAAATACTCCGGGCCCATTTTGTGGTTAGCAATAAAGCTCGCCACGTTGTCTCGCATGGTTGCGATCCGGCCCCGGGGCACCCTGCAGTAGTAGGGGGTGTTTTCCTCTCTGTAAGAGGCGGACGGCTCTGCCCAATTATCCCCCTTCTCCACTGCATGGGAACTTCTCGCCTCTTGTAGGCGGTTATGTTTTTCTTCTGAGTCAGAAGAACTATGGTTAGAAGAACTATGGTCAGAAGAGCTGGAATCGGACTCGTCCCCTGACGAGTCCGAAGAGGACGACTCCTCCCCTCTCCTAGAGGGGCCCGCCTCCTCTCCCTTAGAAGGAGCAGAAGGTAAATTAGACATGTCCACGGTTAGATGAGAAGGGAACACCTTGGTCCCTCTCTCAGAACTGTCAGCTTGACAGTCGCCTCGTTCCACATCTGGCGCCTGGTCAGATGTTTCGCTAAGGAGTACCCTTTGGGAGGAGCCGTCTGAGTTTGATATTCTAGCAGTCTTTTTTGTTCTGGCCATCACGTTCTGCATAGACACAGATTCAGTCGGACTTTGTATAAAGGGCAAAGATGGGTCCAGAAAAGGGCAGGCGGCACTCCTAGTCCTAGATTCAGCCGTCCCCGGTGACCGGCTGATCACTAACTTAGGGCGTGTCGTGTGCTTCCATGGTGCCATTTCAAAAAATAAAAAGAAAATTAAGAGTAAGAGAACTGAGTTACCTGAACGGATGACAGTTGATGAAGTCCTGAAAGTTCGGGTCAGTCGGCTTGTCAGAACAGGCGGTAGGCAGAAAAAGTCCGAAAATGTCAGAGCAAGTTCAGGGGTCCGAATGTTCTCGCAAAAATTCTCAAATGTGAAAATGACCGAAGTCAGCACTTCCTTTTATAGGCAAAATGAGAAGGCGAAGGGTCGCCTCCGAATTCAAATTTGGGCGGGAGAGTCTCCCGGCCGTCTGCAAGGTGACACCTGTAACGGGCCGTCGCCTGTCACCGTGCGACACCTGTCACAGGCGACACGTGACCAGTCGCGTGCCACCTGTGAGGGGCAAATGATTAGGGGATTTTTATTCACCAAGCGCCGTTTGACAAGTGGACCAACCAGGTTCCGCCACGCGTCCTCCACGGACCACTTAAGACACGCCACGTGTCCACCCATGCCAAATGGGACAACCGGCCATCAAGGCCCATTTCAGTCTAGAAGCCCGATCGGCCCTAGGTTTACCTTAAACCTAGAGAGTTGCACGCTTCCCAAGGCTATAAATACTCGATTAATCCTCATTAATCAAGGGACCGAATAATTGACAGAACACACTAATAACCGGCTGATCTCGCTAGCAAAGCAGATTACCTACATTAAATACTCTCACCTAGAGAGACCTTATTACTTTAATTTCTGTATTAATTACTCCTTAATCAGGTACTAACTTGACCGTTGGAGGCGGAGCTCTCAGGAGTCTCCGTTATTTTGCAGGTACAGGCGTCCGGTTCCAGTCTCGGAATTGTAGCTCTCCCGCAGGACATCAGAAAACCCCGAAACACCTACTTTGCCAGCTTTTGTTGTTCCTACTGATGAAGTTAATGAATGGGGCATTTTGTTGTTAGAAATTCGAATCCAAGTTAAATTATTTTTTTACAACCATTCATATCACTCTGATTTTACTAAAATAAAATTTGCCTAAAATATAACCGTATCACTTAGTTTGTGAGAGTGAAATAACTTATTATCTAAGCAGGGAATTTGTTATAACTCATTGTTATTGCTCATACATCTGAAACATAGCCCAAATAATTTCTCAACAAACCAATTTGAATGACCCAATAAATATCCATATTGAATTCGAACCACTACACCAATCCAGATTGAATGGCCCAAGTGGCCCAACACATTACAGGCTACACACCAATCCAGATTGAATGGCCCAAGTGGCCCAACACATTACAGGTTATCATACCCAATGTACACACAATATAGGCCCTATTCGATTGCCCCACACCATTAATGGATATTATAAACAAATCCAATAAGAGTACAAATTTAATACAAGATCCGTGGGTGGACATATTACATATCTCTACAGGACTGCATTAGGAACTGCCTTATAAAATTCGTCAAATAAATGTTACAATGAGGCCCAACAATACAGTAGTTATTTAACGCTAAAATAAACTCAATGGTGGCACACTGTTAATACCATCATCACATCACGAGGGTCCCTATTATGTGATCGAAGACCAAGCTCTACACACAGATGATCAAAATTCAAAATCTGCACGACCAATTCACTGTATTAGGCTTTTAAAGTTCAGATGTTAACATATTCAGTAAAGATGCATGGAGAAAAACACACCCTTTTTTTAACAAATACAAATAAAGACTGTGACTGTGTGCTGTACAATTCAAGAACACACCGCCGCTTCAAGAACACTGCTAAGCGGGCCATCTTTGTGTCGTTCCTATCAATTCCGGCTTCAATAACCTGTTAGGAATTTATGAATACTAAGTAACACTAATAAACACCCAATACAAACAATCAAAATACTTACATGAGACACAAGGGCCATGGCTCCGCAACACCCGCTTTCTATCAGCTTTCTCATAGTGTCCGTACAAAGTGAATGTATTCCAACACCCCCAGAGAAGATAACAATGCCTCGCTTCATCTACATAATGATCAGTCAGTTAAAATCATTAATAACAGCATCAAACATTTAACTGACTTGAACAAAACAACATCAATCCCGAAGTCTGGGGGGGGAGAGGGAATACGGTGGAACTTAATTCAATTTATAATCCAAACAAACCAACATATGTAAACACAACATCAACTCACCCTTTGCACTGCATGGTTTACATGTTGTCGGTCAAATAAGGATTGATTCCCAGCAATCAAATGAACCATTTCACAAGCGTTAACAGCATCGTCACATAAAGACCTAAAGGATAAACAAACCCATAATTACCCGTATTTTCAAAGAATCCTAAAAACCCAGCAATGATAACAATGACCTGAAGACCAAACCACATTCATACCTCTTTATACGGTCATGAATCAATACAACTATTTCCAAAACTCGTGTACCCTGGCAGCGGTTCAGTTCACTAGCATTCAATGTACGGCAACTCGATAAAGAATGGCAAAATACACATTCTATTTCATCATCTAGTATTCAATATTGTCGCAAGTTCTTTCTCATAGCCACACGCCTTGGTGTGGGCATCTTCCTTTTCCATGTCCTACCAAATGCAACCAAGTTCACCTGCAACTACAGGTCTGAAATTATACATCAAATAACACAAAATCGACACACGAAGCATTAACACTGAACAAGACATTGAATTCAAACCTCAATCTCAGGCCCTTGTGTGTCCCTTGCTAATAGTGGATGCGATTCACCATAAGCCACATCCAAACTCTGTAAAAAGATACCAGATACCCGAAAACATTTCTTAACGATATAACTAAAGTAAAATTGCCAAAATTAATATACTTCATACATCAACACTTACACCAAGAACCCCAAAGTCACCACCATCTGGCATGTGGTCCTCCTTCACAGCAAAACGAATCTCATTCATAGTCCAAGCTTGAATCCTCGAGAACACGCCCCAACTCACCGGTTGCCTGTCAAGCCGATCAAGATAAAACACCTGCACCATGATAATTATGTTCTACAATTAAATCAAAATTAAAAAAACCCCACCTGATTAATACAAAAACCGCAGAAAAAAATTGGGTACCACAGCAAATATTAAACATCCTCCGCACCCACTAGCGTAACCACTAGCATAAAACCTCCTTGCAAATGTGGCTACGTTGTCCATAAGCTTCTTCAAGACAAGACTGCACCAGTCGTATTCTGAAGCTAGAGGGGCACACGTTAACGACGGAACTAAATCTGAGGCCAGTCTAGAGGACTGAGTAGGACACAACAACTCCTGTGAAAGTAGCAAGAACAACATCTTAAATTCATCTCCCTCCTCTTCTCCCCAGTAACCCTCAACCCTCTCCATTAATTTCCTATCCACTAGGATACCCTGAGACTTATACTGTCGACCTGTTTTGTTTGATTTACTAATCCATGCTTTACCATACCTGCCCATTATTTCATGAATCTTTATCATATTATCATCCGTTATAGATTTGTAACCTGGTACACTCCTCCCTCTATTGGGAATACCAAGAACCCAATGAACTTGATTTTTTGAAAGACCAATGACCCTACCATCTAAAGTTCTAAATGTGTAGTTCAAAGGATCAATACAAGTCATTAGCCAATAAGATAACTGCCTTGGGAGGTGCATGCCTCCGGCAAAATGTAAAAGCCCTCCAAACCCCATCTCCACAACCCACCTAGTCCTACGATCATCAAAGGTTTGACATATTCTCCCAAAGGTCTCGACACGACAAGTAGTATTTGGAGGTTGCACAACATGGTAGTCAACCAAACATATTAAAAATAGCCAATTTAATTAAAAAACAACCATCAACTATTTCCAAAAACCTATGTCACATCACATCTTACCCGACATCTAGCTTCATCTCGTCTCTTTAATACCTGACCTCTTGCTTTAACTTGACCACCAATAGTCAATGACTCATCCTACAACAACATTAACAAACCAATCCATTTTCAGTAACCAACTTTGATGCTCAAAGATATTACCTAAAGGTTACTACATACAACAGCATCTATACCTTAAAAATTTCGGGAGATAGAGTCTTCAATGGTGGCTGTTTGTAACACCCAGAAACCTATTGCATTGAATTTAACAATTACTTTCACTGAAATCATTAATAACTTCAAAACCAATACACAAAAATAGTTTAATACTTGTTTAATACAACCTACTGAACTAGCAATTGATTTCCGCTTTTAACAATTTCTTCCATCCACAATTTTATGCTGATAACACAATACACTTGATTAATTACAGATTGAGGAAATCTTGCATGTTTCTGACCATTACTGTTAAGAGATATACTTAGGAACCAAACACAATTACACATATAGTTTTTTCCCCTGCTTCAAATTGAAAAAAATATAAACACAAATACATTGTCTCCGCAATGCATATAATCCACCAATTGCAGAATCGAATAATACCTTAATTATAATCCACCAACACATGAAACGAAAAATACCTTAATTTTCAGATCGGATTCAACTTCCACTCCGTCGTCATCAAAGCAATTGAGGTCACTGCTGCTCTCCTCGACACCGACAATCTTCATTCTACCAAGCACAACTCGTTTTTGATCAAAATAAATACAGTTTCATTGGAGAGAAGTGTAGCAAGAGAAGTGTAGCAATCACCATTACTGACACATTGTCGCGGAAGAGAGAGAAAACTCCAATAATTTTAGGGTTTGAAAACCGTTCGAAAATAACATTAACGAAGTTAACATCCAACATTTGCCAAAACGGTAGTCCCAAAACGGTATAAAGTTGGGCATTCATTTCTATTCCAAATTTGTCCTTACTTTAACACGCGAATAGACGAAAATGACCCTATATCAACGTGCTTCATTGATATCGAATATCAATTTGGATTTGCTCATGAGAAACTAGGGTTCAAGAGAAAACTCAAAAGATTGTTAAATAACAAAAAGCATAAAAAGGCATAAGGGAAAAATAATATCCCTTGAGTATTTATATTATCCTAAAACTAATCTAAAAATAAATAAAAAAAAATAATTAAGAAAATAAAGATTACATAGGTTGAATTATTATTGGATGATAAAAGATGACGTGGCATAAAACCGCAAGCAAAGTCGACAACATGAGCACCTCATGGGCTGCTTTGGCTCGCCAGAACCTGGGGGCGCAGGCTGGTGGCCGCGGGCTGGCAGTAGCTACGGCTGGTGTCGAGTGGTCGCGGGACAGGGGCGCAGCAACATCCCGCGGGTGGATGACTGCATTGCTTAGATTCAAACGTCTATAACTTTTGTTCTAGGAAGCTTATTGAGGCGTGCGACCTATCATTGAAAAGAACTTCAAGTCTAGTTTCCAACTCAATTTGAATCGCTTCAATCCAATCTATAGAACTCAAGTTATGATCAAAAGAGTGACCAAAGGTCTGTTTTGCTACTTTGTAAAACATCGTTTAACTTCGTTTCTAACTCAAATTCAATTCCGAAAAGTGCATAACAACCCTTTTGGATGCTATATTCATTCCTCATGCATATAAATCTCAAAATCAACATCCACGAACGTGGGATCTTTGATTTATAAACTCAATTAATCGACTTCCATCCAAATATCATCCGAATCAACTCCAAACACTACGAAAGCGTCCAAATGTCTATCAAATCACCTGAAACATTAAGAAAAACACAAACGGAGCGTAATAGAGTACAAAACAAACAACTTATGTATTTACGACCTAAAAAGCGACTAAAAGACCTAAAAAGCAACTAAAAGACCTAAAAAGCAACTATAAACTTAGCATAAACGTGCTTATAAAACCTATATAAATGTGATTCATCATAGAAATAATTAACCATTTATATATATGAATTGTCTCTAAAATGGCAAATAATTCGAACGAAAATGAACATTGCATGCGAAAGATCCAAAGGGATGGACTTTCAATATCATTAGATTATGAATCCATTGATATATGCAATTATCATTCTAATTTGAAATTTTGAAAAGTAACCATTTAGAGAAATGATGATGTGAACTCAAGGTCGAATACATATCGATGTACAAAAACCAAAGGTTCAAAGGCTAGAGACGGACAATGAAACTTAATTTGTGATACGATCACTACTTGTGCTTAGTTGAAGCATAAGAGTGAAAACTTTGAAAAGTTCAAAATGTTCAGTATGAAGTTCAGTATCAACTTGATAAAATAATGTTTACATTACAATATAATTGTAATTGTGAAAATTTAAGTCAGGACATGTACTTGGCAATATATTTAAAATATTGCGATAGGATCGTAATAATGAGAATTTAAGCCAATACCTTGATAAACATCCAAGAGTTGTGAAATCGTTTTACGACAAACTCCGAAAGAAATCCTTGTGAAGTGTTTATGAAAGGAGATATCAATCTATATGAGATATATTGATAATGGATGAAAATTACCTATCTTCCAACCATTGTTCAAGGGATATACTTTTAAGATAAGCTACAAAACTAAACAAAGAAACATAGGTCAAATCAAAATGTAGCAAAGGTTTCATATGTGATATGAATAAGAAAAGTTCTTATAAAGTCTTTCTACAAAGCAAGGAATAAAAGTTGTATTAAATCGTTTACTGCACGATCAATTCCTATACAGAGCACAGGGTACTACTACACAAATCATACTTAGCACAAAATGTTTGTTGCTCAAGTAGTTGCCCTTATGGAAGTTGTTCCAAAAGGTCAAGTGGGAGTAGTATAAATCTCGAAAGAGTTCGAGAAAAGCAACAAACAAACGTGGTTCAAACCATGATTGGTTCACTCTATGCTAAATTTGCCTCCTCAAAAGGCAAGTGGGAGTATAAGAATCTCGAAAAGTTTGAGAGCCTTGAAAGAGTTCAAGAAAAGTGATTTCGAAAATCTTGAAGAAATTTGAGAAATAATTGAATAAAAGCAACAATATGAGCATGATTCACATCATGTTACAAATGACAACGCGTGGTCTCATTAAGTGTAATGGGAATAATAACCATGTGTCTAAGGTAGTATATTCTAAATGCACATCCTCTATTGTCGTTTCTCATTGAAACTAAACAAAGTTGTTGTATGAGTTTCAATTGTTGCATAAAACCCCACAATGATGACTAGCATATGTAAAACTTAGCCAAAGAAATATGATTTCATATTGACTAAGAGTTCTGAAATATTTATTTTGGAACATGATGATTATGCAAGTAACAAAGATGATTTGACAAGTTATAACTTCAAGTGGTTTAAAAACCAGGAAATATGAAATAGATTCTTAGTCTGTAAGCAAGTGTATGACACTTGATAAATTTGCCTAATTGGGTGAGACCCATTATAAGCAAAGCAGACAAGAAAGAAAATGTTTTCTAAATAAAGCAAAGACTTGTTAAAGGTTCAACAAATTCATAGTTTGACTATGACTACGATGAAACCTTACATTAGTCATCTAGCAAAGATCTATTAGACATATATTAGTGATTACTACCTTATATTATGAGATTCGGTAGATGGATTTCAAAACACTTTCTTGAAATTGTTCATGAAAGAAGATTTGTATACGATACAATCAGAATGGTTTTGAAAAACAATAATCCTATAGATGCATAAAATATTCTTAATGAATTGAAGTTAGCATCATGGAGTTAATGTTCTTAATTTTGTGAGTTAATCAAATCGTTTGAGGTTCTCGTAAAATGAAGAAAAGGTCTTGTGTGTACAAGATTTTTAGTGGGAGCTATGAAGTCTTCTTGGTCTAGTATAAAGAGCAAATTATTCATTGCTTGAAGAGTCAAGTGGTGGGTAGTGCATTTTGTATGAAAAACCTTGAAGAGGATGATGAGTACATTTGGGATTCAAGATCTATAGAGATAGGTCTCGAAGGATGTTTGAGTTTGGTTAAGAAGCTTATATTGATAAGATTCTTATAAGGTTCAACATTATATTGAAAGGAGTTTCAATCCCATGTAACATGACATGTTGCTTAATGATTCAATGCTTTGAGAAAGGTTGATGAAATTAAGGTTTTGAGTGATGATCCTCAAGAAATATGCAAAGGATGCATCATGAATGTCATGGCCTATACTCGACTATTTGATTCACGCGTTTTAAAAACAAGTGATGATAGATTTCAATCGAAATTCAATGTTACGTTGGAATACAAATTAGAAATTCCTAAGTTCCTTGTATAAGGACGAAGGAAAATCCTTAGTGAATGGAGATGAATATGATTGTAAAATTTAGAAATTGCAAAATTCATGTTTATGAGAATGTCTCATGAACTCTACTTACTAAACCCCTTCCATGACCAAGGTATGAGAGTCATACTAAGATTCTTGGATTGTAGCAAGTTATGTAATTTGAGTTGTGTATGTTTTGAGAAAACATGTCACATAAGCAATACATTAACTTGTAGAATTATGTTTATCAATTGTTTCAATCTTATTTAATTATGGTTTTTTGATATTAAATAAAATGTCCAAAATCTTATTTATTAGGACGGAGGGAGTAGTATTTATAGGAGAAGAAATAACAAAGCCAATAATAGCCTTCCACAGTTCCGTGCAAAGCTCGCTCTCGCTAGTCCCTGCCGCAAATGCGAGCATCCGAGCTATTGCTCGCTCACACGCGAGCTATAGCTCGGCCTTGCCGCAACTCTTTTGCCTTGCGAGCTCTAGCTCTCTTGCTAGCTCGACATTGCACAACTCACTTGCCTTGGGTGCTACATTGCTCTTGCTAGCTCCTTGCACACAACATCACTAAGACTAACAATACTCACTTAATAACACTCCAATTTGCATTACAAGTATAACAACTCCAACAACTTTGTCAGTGTTTTAAGGGTTATTCGATAAGTATTACATCCTTATAGGGAAAACTTAACTACTTCCTCCGTGTTTTTTAAGTGTTAAACTTCCCATTTCCGGTCATGTTTTTTAAGTGTTACACTTCCTTTTTGGCAAAAAACTATATTAAAATATTATATCTCTCTCCTTTCATGGTCCCTACCCAAATTTACTACTATTTTTTTTATTATCTCTATCCTCTCATATTCATTACTTTTCAATAAACTATTAACCCCACTGTTTTTCTTTTACAATTGTTTAATACTCCAACTACCATACTCACCTCTTATTTTATTTAAGTCAATTAAATTGTCTAAAACTATGTGCCGGTCAAACTGTAACAGTTAAAAAAACGCAGAGGAAGTATAAAGATTACTATGTTCTTTTATAAGCGGTCACATGATGTGGTCAGCCGCTCACAAAACACGTTGTTACGAGAGAGTATTGAATTAGACATTTTAAGTGGAGTCGATTTTATCAACTCTATCCCTTAAAACAAAATATTGACGGATGGCTAGATTGGCTACAATAGAATCGAGCAAGCTCAACTGCACAAGTAACTAGCATCACTCTCTTCCCCTGTTCCTTTGAATTTCACTCTCTTCTTCTTTACCACTCCACAAATGCCTTCATCTCTTTAAACTCTTCTTCTTCTTCTCTCTTTCTCTCTCCTGCTATTATCAAAATCCACAGGAAAAAATGAACAGATTAAGATGGGTAATGGAAGGAGGAGAATTCTGGGAATTGGATGTATCAACACCCATTACAATGGATGGTGTGGCCCGACCCTTACCCAATGATGGCCCACTTCCATTGGGCCTTTCAAGGGGTACCCGGCTTTCCAGGCCCAAACAGATCGATTTCTTTCAGAAATTCATGGCTGCTCTCGTTGTTCCTTCTTTTTCCGCCGGCAATGGTTTCTCTATTCAACGTGCTCTCACTATTCCTTCTGGCAATGACTGGTAATTTTGGTTTCTACCCACTTTTTATTATTTTGTTATTGTTCTTAATTTATGGGAAATTTTGGGTATTTTGAATGATTATGTTGAGAACAAGAATTATGGAGTTTTTGTTAATTGGGTTTTAATTGGGATTATTTTTATTTTGTATATGAATTTTGTGATTTTTATTGTTGATTTTGTATTTAAATGGCTATGTTGTTGGATTTTAACTTCTATATGAAATTGTAATGAGCATGAAGTTGCATTTCTTAATTATTGTATTTTTATGTGATTCCTATTCTTTTGCCCCTTTTAGCTGTGGGTAATGTTGGTTAGCAAGGGAGTTATATAGGGTAATGTAGATGGTTTTAATCGAGTTCGAAACAAGCCCCAACATCCCCAAGAAAATTGTTGAACTAATAATTTTTATGAGCAATGTACATTGTGTGGAGGAGTATTAGATATTAGAAAGGAAAGGAGAGAAAATGGTGGCAAAGCTATTGATGTCAGTGGAGAAGAGTTGTTCGTAGATCCTCGTGTGATGGTCTGATCCAGTGTTTACTTATGAAGGGAGAATAGTTGGAAGAGTAGGGCTGAGCACCTGTGGAATACATTTGAACTATTACATTTCTAGTTTTCCTAGTATAGAACAGTGGAATATCTAGAGAATTTGATTTAACATGTAAGTACAATGCTTATGTATACTTTATATAGCTCTGAATTTGGTCAATTGTTTTGGTGTAACCTGCTGTCTTCCTATCACTGCTTTGCCATCTACAGATCATTTAATGTTTTTTTTTTTTTTTTTTTTTTTTCTTTTTTGGGTATGAGGTGGAAGTGGTTGTCCTAATTTGGTTCCTTTATCCTACCAAAGTTCCAAATACCAAGAATAATATACGTTTGCATGACCTTTGATGAGTTAAAGTAACATCAAATACAGTTGTATTAGTTGTGCACTTGTGCTTCAGTTGGAAATGAAAATAATCACATTAACTAGCAAAGGATAGTAATGCCTGCTGTAAGTGTGCATTTGTTAAAGGCTAGTACCACACCGACTGGCCGTACAATTCTCATATATTTATCTCATTTCATTTTTGTAGTCTGTGTCTCATAATATCTTAGCATATTCCGAGTAATATTTATACCTGCACTTCAAGATGTAACCATAAGAAAAATTCTTGCTTTCTTTTGTGTTCTGTACTAGCTTTCTCAGAGTAGTGCCATCATGTTTGAGCTGTAGGTCAACTTATTTTCTTTCTTCTAATGAATCTTTCTCAATCATGCGTTCCAAAAGCCTGATGCCATGTTTTGCAATTTGGGTTCTTTCTGTATCCTGAGAGTAGTTTGTCCTTCATTCTAGGGTCCTGTTGCAACTTGCCAGCAACCAGCCAAAACAATTTAGCTTGTGGAAGTATAAGATATATTGAGTCAACAGTAGTGCATATACAGTACTAAAATGCTAGTTGTAAATGATCTTGAAATGTTTATACATGCATTGTGTTTCATCAACTTTTGAAGTAAAAGGCTTTTTTCAGGCCCGATTCCTAGGAATTGAATAATATTCTAAGCTAGTTTGCCGCTGTGGCATTTCAAATTCTAGTCTGTGAAGCTCTTTGATCTATTAATTCAGAGCATATCTTAAACTTCAATTTGGTTTGAGGTCTTGACTCTTGAAACTTCCCCATTTGTGTGAAAAATAAACCAATATATGGACAGATTTAGTTAGAGTCTATTATAAGATTAAGTGCATAGCTTTCAGAATCCGAAGGAATTACACATGCTTAAAACAACCTGTGTTTTATGGCATAGAAGCTGCTTAGTAATTGGCTTGTTTGCAGAGTAAGCTCAGCTCTGCAATCTAATTGATACATATGTCAAAGATACGCAGGTTTACCACTTTGTTGGGTCAGTTCAACTTGCAACAGTTTGTGTCTTCCGTCAGAAAGGCAAAGTTAGAGGAGCGCTCAGAATCATCCTGGCTGCAAACCATCGGAAGGCACTTATCTGAGAAATCGTTGTATGCATATGGTGTTTGTTCAGAGTTCCTTGTAACACCTGAAGATAAACTGCACTTTTCTTATGAAGCAAGAGGCGACAGGAAAACTGCTCGGAAAAAGGCAGTTTTTAATCATAAGGCAAGTATGTTGGCCTTCTAATAATGTTTGAAGCTATTTTCCATTCCTTATTGTCTTATTTGTTTGGCATATGGAATATGGTCTATCATCTCTGAAATCTTTTGATTTCCCTTCATGTTATACTTTGGGGGACTTCTTACAAGAACAATGAGAAAGAACTTTTCAGGAGAGGGAGAGGAGATCTATGTCCTGCTTATTTTATGCTCTTTATCTGTATCAATGCAATTAGAATCTCAATAAAAAAGGCTTAACCTTCTAATTAGGTTTCATGCAAAATCTTAAGAGTTTTGTTGTGAAGAAAAGTGAAATCTGGCAAAGCTGCAAAATTTTTGAAATCAAGTAAAGGCAATAAAAAATCTTGATATCGGATCTCTCTCTCTCTGCAATAATTGCAAACTTCTACCCCAAATATGATTAAGTCTTCAGCCTTTTACCCCTCTTTGTATTCAATACTTATTTGATTGTCTTCAGGAATTTAAATCTCTAAGCAAGCTGGCACTCTCCAGACTCCAGATATTCCAAGTTTCTTCTGTTTTTCTCTGGCCACTCATCTTCAGTGGCTGTCGATTCTTTTTGCAAATTTCTGTATGTAGACAATGAGGCTGAGTTTTCAGTACCTGCAGCCTGCCCCTTCTATGTCCTTTCTTCCTTCATTTTCTTTGTGGTTTGATGTGAAAGAAAAAGAGGCATGGAAGTGAATAGAGCCAACAGAGAAAAAGGAAGGATGGTGGACCTGGTCAGAAGTACGGTTCAATTTTTTTAGGGCGTTGAAAAGATTAAGTTCAATCTTTGAGCTTCTATATTTTTACCTGTTCTGTCAGTTGCTATTCAATCCCGGGGGGTGGGTGGAGGGGAGATCTTAAATTTAAGGATAATACATTGTAAATCACTAAGATATTACCTTTAACTCATATAGTGGTAGACTGGTAGATTGCCACAACGGGAAATTAGTCTTGCATTGGCAAAAAATATGTAATGATAATTCATGTATTTCACATTATTTTAGAAGCAAAATTATCTTGAGACCTTTTATGTACATTTTTGAACCATCATAGGTTTTTAAGAAGTAAATATGTGAATTAGTTTTTAGACATGCCTATTAAGGAGAAACATTAAGGGAGGAAGACAGTATTTGAGATCATTCTGGAATCTTTCAGAATATATCCAAAATTTTGTCAAAGAAAATTTTGGTCAGTAAATATTCTGGTAACCTAAATATGTGATGTCAAATTACCAATGTGTTCTATTTGTGAGTTCTGGGTGTTAAATATGGAATATGGAAGCATGGGTTACTTATAGAAATTTTTGTACTTTATGGTATCATATATATTTAGTAGAAATATCCCATATTCAAATGGAGTTTTACATGATAGCTCACCCTTTATCAGAGACTAAGGGCCTGTTCTCTTCCGTTGAAATTCAATTCAGTTCAGTTCAGTTCACAACTTAGGACGTTTATCAAATGGCATGGGATGTAATTAAATGTCTTGGGACTTGCAAAATCAGAATAAACAAATATTACTTTTGTTGGTGGTCCAGCTGGCTATTGTTAAGTAACTTGAGAGTGTTACTTGACAATTATTGACGGAGTTTGATAGTCATTATTGCAGTAACTCTTAAACTACTCCTTATTCTTCTTGTATCTTCTCGATCACAGTTTAAGGGAAGGACATCAATGGAGGACGATGATGAAAACCACCCTTTGGGTTAACAATGCCCTTTATTACTCTCTCTTTTCTTAGGTTTTTCATTAATTTCGGCGGCGAAGCCGCCAGAAATAGTTGAATATGGCCATGTGAAGGAGGAGATAGAAAGAAATTGGTGGTTCGTTGGCACAATCATGCTGCCCATCTCCATCTAAGAACAAGTAGCGACCATCTCCTAGCACCGATTGATGTCGTCGATGGTTGCAGTTGTTGGTTTTGTTAATGGCGAGTGTCATAAGAAGAAGACCCCAACTAACACCGTAAATTTGTAAGGCTAACGGCAGTTAAAGGACAATCTTCACAGTTCATGTAAACGTACAATACTACCCATGACTAACAATGGGAAATGACGGTTATAACCCTTGATAAACGTCCCAGGTTTATCAAGTTGAGAAACCGGGGCGCCCTCATAGAATATGAGAAAATTTATACTAGTATTATTCTTGGCTTGAATCATACTTATAAGTTTCCTACTGAATACTAATATATGCTATGTATATTGATTTTACAGTTTCCTCATCTTGATTTGACAATGGAGGGAGTTTGGCCTGGACTTTATATTGACAAGTATGGAGAATACTGGGAAGTACCAGTTACATTGGCAGCTGATCTGGCTTCTGTCACTTCTGACTCTGGTGCTAGCTACCACTTGTGTTTGCAGCATATATCAGGTTTAGCGAAGCCAGTTGAAGGGAACGAGTCCACTGAAGTTCCTGCCAATTTACTTCCTGGTCTCTATCTTAAAAGTGCCTTTTCCTTCAAGAAGAATATAGACTTCTGGAGAAGTGAGGCAAAGAAGCTAAAATATGTTCAGCCCTATGATTTTTTTCTATCAGGTCCCCATATCTCTGGCGCAGGTCTTATTGGTAAGTCATAGCCTTTAACTTTATGCTTCCTTTAATATCGTCTGAAGCGAATAATCTGCTCATCAGATGTGATAGATTATAAATATATATTGAGACCTTGATCTATGAAAACTTGCATGGTAGTTCATCTTAGTTTTTGGATTTATTGTTTTATGTGTCCATCTGCTCTTTCCTTCAGGTGTTGTCGCAACTGCATTGGTTGGAGATAACTCACAAAGATCACCATTAGATGATCAGCCAAAGGATTATAAGCGCTTTGACCTTTATGCATCTATGGGGAGATCTGCAGTCCTTGCAGACTTGTTTGCATCTTTAGCATTCTCAGCCCAGTATGGAAACTTCCAAAAGAAGGCTTTTGATCTTACACAGATCCATGGCCGGTTAAATTTTCCTTCAGGTTCCAAGTTCTTTTCAGCTGCGACATGTTTGGCCCAAAACCTTTACAAGTCTGAACGGCCATCCCTTGAAGCAGTACAGGCGGCCTGTCCAAATGCCACACTATCTCTTCAGCAACAGGTGTGCAATTTGTTACAGAGATGTTTTGTGCTAATTCTGTTACAATGCTGATTTAGTTTTAGTCACAGACCTCTCAAATGTATTTTGCTAACATACGTAGTATTTAAGTTACTCTTTCAGTCTCTAAAGCTGAAATAGCTTAAGCTAGTGTGTATCAAAGAATTCAAGCATATTATAGTTCTAGTCAGCTAGGCGACCATTATTGTAGCAGCTTTTCTTTGTTAAGTACCAATTCCAATATTAACTTTGATCCTACAACTGTGGAATATGCACTCTCTCAGTTCACACTTACTGTACTGATTGAATACCTGTGTTTCTTGCTTTGCAGATTGTAGGACCCTTCAGCTTAAGAGTTGATTCAGAACTTTCTGTAAATTTAAAGAACGAGGGATGGAAGGTAAATTTGGACAATCCTGTAATTGCAATCGAATATGCTTTATATTTACTTGGCTCTGCAAAGGCCGTTGCTTGGTATGCACCAAAGCAAAAGGAATTCATGGTGGAGCTTCGGTTGTTTGAGATATAGGTCTTCCTCGTCTGTTAGACATCTTGAACTCCCTATTGTATCGACTTTACAGTTTTGGAATGAAACGCAAGTTGAGCTTTCTTATGGGATTTTTTTTTGGGTGATTGGTCAGGAATTCATAGTTTCAAGAATGACATGAACAGTGTGATTGATATTCAAAAATTGGTCTGGATCAGAAAAATATACTGGTCCAGACCAATTATCAAAGAGAACTGATCCGGTCTCCAAGTAGAAATAAGTAATTAATTTTATGGTCTCTGGTCTGGACCAAAACCCATCAAAAATCGGTCTTGGACCATATTATGTTTTAGTACTACCTCCGTTACATAATATTTGCAACGATTTGACATAAAGTAGAGAGGAAAAATGTCTAATCGTTTTAAATAATATGTAATAGAGGTTGTATAAAATTTTGTAAAGCCTCTAAAATTGGTTTTCTATTCTATTTAGTTTTTTATTTTTCATTTTTTAATGGTAAGTTTCTATTCACAATATGAAGTATCATGCTTTGTATATAAAACTAAAAATATTTAAAAAAAAGTCTAAAATCGATCCAGTTCAGGTTTTGGACATCTTATATCGATCTGATCTAGGTTTGGTTAGAGCATAACTGCATTGGTTTCCAGATCTAATATTCAAATTTCCGGAGAGCATTTTTGTTTATTGTATAGTTTGAAGATGGTTTGATATCTAGAGAAGCTTTAGTGATAATTTAATAAAGATTACTTCGATTCAAGATGGAAAAATAGACGAATATTAAGCGTTACAGCAAAGTTGAAAGCTTCAAATTCTACTTGGATAGTTGGATGTGTTAGGGATGTGCAAATGAAATGCTTCTGGAGTTTTCCATCAACCGTAGGGATGGCTTTGAATGACCTCTGACAATTGCACAACCCTTTCCCCTCCTCGCTCCCACATGACCCCCTTTCAAGCCTCCAAGGATTTTTGCCGGAGAGTAAAGTAGTTGAAAATGCAAAATGATTGACAGGCTGAGTAACAGGAGGTCCGGTAGGGAGGAACAGATGAGCAAAAATCGATCAGCATAATTATTTTTACCCCATCTTATCTACACCGTATATCTCCACATGCATCAAGACTAGATTGAAATTAACAGCCTTGCTTTTATTCTAGAAGCTCATTGCTCAAATCTGCCATGTAGCTTTATCAAAAAAAAAAAAAAATCTGCCATGTAGCAATGGAATGAACAAGTACCAGGCTATTCTTGAACCTATTCAGTTGTTGCATAAAATGTGTTAATAATAAGGAAGTTTACATTTGCTTACAGTACTACGCCTACCTAAACTAACTGGAGGGCAATTTGATGGAAGCTGCAGATGCTCTTCATTATAATTAACTGATATTAGACTAAGCCCGTGAGGTGGTGCAGATAAGGCATATTTAGCCAATTCTTTACGATCTCTTGTTTCCAAGATATCAAGGATTATATCAGGTGGAATCGCCTCCCTTCCAATTTGAAGCAACAACGCAACCTTCAATAAAGAACGCAAGTAGGTCAATAATTTATATATTACTACAGCTCCTTTAGAAAATACAAATGTCTAATAAAAAATGGAGGGATGAACAATGGAGGGATGATAATCCTATCGCCGAGATGAACAAGAATCCGATCTTTGGGGGGTTCTCTGCGAAATGATACTCCCTATTTAGGCAGGAGAGCCCTCAACACTAGTATGTAAGTCAGGCATGTATAAAATGCCCTTGAGATTGGAACTTCTTTGCTTATTTCTAAGATGGATTCATCAACCCTCATAAACAAGGGTGGGTCTACATCATTTTGTGCAGCTATCATCCTTGGGCAATCATTCAAAAGGACATATTGACAAATTTAAAGTTCTCTAACAACCCTATAAGATCATCAACGAACGAAGAGTTAAAAAAATGACAGTTAAGAGCTTATCATACCATGTTTCGAATTTGTCTATACAAGAAACCTGAGCCTTCAACTTCTAGCTCCACAAGAGGTCCCTGTAAACCAACAAAATGTCTTATGGAGTAAACTTCAAAAACCTTCAATATACATACCAAGACATTTAATAGACTTAAAAATCAAATACAACAGTCTACTTAGGACAATTTTGACAATTACCCTTTCAGTGACATCAAATCGGGATATAGTCTTGACAGGATCCCGTACTCGGTCATTACGAATTGCATTAGCAAAGGCTGTGAAGTCATGCTTTCCAATAAAATACTTTGCAGCTTCTGCCATGACAGCAACATTAAGCTTATATAAGCTATGATATGCACAAGTACGAGCAAATGGATCCATGACAGCACCATTATAAATGCTGTAACGATAAATCTTTCCCTTTGCAGAAAAACGGGCATGGAACAATGTCGATGCAGGGCTTAGCTCCCTCACACGTATGTCAGATGGGAGAAGACCATTTAATGCTGCATGAACTTCATCCAATGAATCATAGTTGAAAGGTGTGACAAAATGTGCAACCTGAAACTTTCTATCAAATGTAAGCTGCCATTCAACTTAGGCCGTCTTTTTAATCTCTTTAGGAATGAGAGAGTGAAAATCAGACCTGGCCCCAAGCATGCACTCCTGTATCAGTCCTGCCTGCACCTACTACATTTAAATCCTTTCGATCTAAATTTGTGATTCTGATCAAAGCCTTTTCTATGGCACACTGTACTGTTGGTGGTGATGCTTGATATTGCCACCCTAATACAACACAATGTATATTATTTACCAATTACAAATTAAGTACAAAGTATTTTCAAGGTAAAAGTTAAAATAAACCCTTTATAAGCCATTTCTAAAGAAACAACATTTAAATTGACATAGCGATTACAAAAATCCTTTACTGCTTGTTTAAGCTTCATCTATAAACTTGTGTTTTCTAAATTATCAATTCGAGAGAGATATAAGAAGTGTAAACCTTCATTTATACTACTGAGTTGCACCAACTAGGAACGTTCTAAATCACAATCTGGATCAAGTTGGACGGTTGCAGCGAAACACAAAGAATAAAATAATTTCACAATGCAATTACCAAACCCAAGCAAAAGTATTAAATTTGTGAGTTCAATCATTAGTCACTACAGTTTGTTATCTTCATACTTCAGTAAAAATACAATTGCACAAGAACGAACACTTCCCACCATGATCAATCTCTACATCTATTGTGCAACTAAGTTAAGTGATTCAATTAGTTGAACTTTTCAGGGAAGAAATTCCACAATGAAAATTAATGTTAAGATGCATCAAGGTAAAGAGGTTCCTCCTAATGAGTCAAAATAACTATAATAATTGGTTCGTTATACAATTCTACTCAAATTCCAATGAAGATATCAAATGAATTTCGAAAGAGTCAAAAAATAGGAACCAAAACAGACTAGTCTTTCTATTAACATATTGATCCACTTACAACGGAACATCACAACCCTCCAATGGTGCTTAAGAGAGTTTTATGAAAAACAACTGTTATTTTTTTTTTCCTAATTATATCCATCATGTTCCACAATTATGCAATTATCTACCCTTTTCTAATTTTCCAGCAAAGTATGAGAGTTTTTATTCATTTGAGCAAAACCCTCCACCGGTTTCCAAGTCCGCCCACATTAATTAATTAAAAATAATAACAGGATATGTTCTTTAGCCATAAGTTAAAAACGAACCACCACTATAATATTCCTTAATAGGTGCAGTCTATTCACCTTCGAAAAATACAAGTTTCAGTACTAATCAATTTTAATTAGGGTTGATCGCGTTTAATCATGGTTAGGGTCTGTTTACATTTACTTTACTTTACTGAGCTGAACAGATTTGAGCTGAACTGAAGTGATTGAAGCTGAATTGAGCTGAGCTAAAATGAATATTTTACGAGAGAGGGAAATTAGGAGCTGAATTGAACTGAACTGAACTGATTAGAGCTCAGCTGAACTAAACTGAATTGAAATTAAACGTGAACAGGAGGTCTAACCGTCTAATCAAGGAAAATATATACCTGTAGTTTTTACAAATACACTCATTTTCCCCCTCTTTTATATTCCCTAATTATCAATCAATTTGCTGACTTTACATAGTAATTAAAATGGCATAATTGGCATACCAAAACACAAATAAAACCTATAAAGAAAAATAATCATATAATTTACCTATAATGAAATACCATAAACCTGTAATTAATCAATCAAAGAGATAATTAAGAGCAAATGAAATTTACTAACCAGCATAATTGGTGCCATCATAAGCAATGAGAAGGCGCCATTTATAGGTTGGAATTGTCGGGTTTAAAGGTAAGATTTGACCACCTGAAATCTGTCAATTGGGTTGTAAGCATTTCAAACATTCGAGAGAAGAAGATGTAGAGAAAATGAAGAGAGAGAAATTGGTGTTACCGAAGAATTGGAAGAGGAGTTGAAATGGAGTGGCAATGGCGGAGTTGTCACTGCGAAGCTCATTCCCTGGTCGGTCTAAAGGTGCGACTTGCGACCCAAGGAGATAATCTTCCCCACTAGTATTTGTATAGTCTTGTATAGTTGTACTTGTGTTCTTTTTTTGCTTGAGTTCACCGATAAAGGCGGTCTAATGGGTCGTGTTTGTGTCGATATTAAACGAATTGGGCTTTATTTTTTTTAGATGTTATAGTACAAATTTTTGGCTGCATTCTAATGCAGCTAAGATAGCTGCAACACCCACAAAACGCATTTTGTTATTAATAAAACGCATGCTACGTAGTACGTACCTTCATCTTCCTTCTTTCTTTATGTTCTTCCTGCAATTTTCTTCTTTCCTTTTTCTTAGTTTTTCTTCCCTTTTTTTTTTTTATGATACATTCTTCTCTTTCATTTCCTCTCTCCTCTTTCATTTTCTTTTTCCTCTTTTTTCTCCATTTGACACTTTCTCTTCCTCTGTTTGTTACATTATTTTGGGTTTGATTGTTATTCTTGAAGAGACCATCAATGGAGGTTAGTTTTTATGTTGTTGATTTCTAATTAATTAGTTTAATTAGATTGTATTTTGGTTAAAATTAAAATTGATTTTGTGAATTTTTACGGGATAGATTTCAATTGATTTTTTTTGATAAATTTGATGAATTAGACTATCCTCAATTGAATTTTTGAATTTGTTATAAATATTGATTTAATTGATGAGTTACTGATAATAGCGATGAATTTGATTTTCGTGATGAATTATTGAGTTGCTGCATTTGTTATGAATCTCTTTTTTATTAAGGTTTTTATTTTATTTTTTGAGTTGCTGTTATTTGTTTTTTGGGAAAAAAAATGAATACTTAGTATTGTAAAATTGAACATTCAGTACCAAATGAATATTTAGTACACTAAAAATGAACATTTAATACATAAAAATGAACATATTTTAACAATTATTTTATCAATGAATATGAACGTATATGGAATATATGGAAATCATGTTCATTTTTAATATATTGAATGTTCAAAATAATTTATTTAGTGTTCATATATTTTTATGAAATGTTCATTTTATATGGAATGGTTCAACTATTCAATTATTGTATGATAAATGGTCATATTTAATATACTACATATTCTTTTTTTTTTTTTTTTTTTGACGTGCTTACTTTTTGTTATCAAATATTTTTTTAACGTGCTCATTTTTTATTACTAATTGTTCTTTTTTTTACATGTTCATAATTTTGTTTACTAAATGTTCATTTTTAAGGACTTGTCCATCAATTTTATAATTATATAATAATCAAGTTCATTTTTAATACACTAAATGATAATTTTTTTTTTTACATGTTCAATTTTTAGTATATAGTACTAAGTGTTCATGTTATTATTAATGAATGTTCATTTTTATTTACGTGTTCATATTTTTTTATTAAATGTTCATTGTTTTTTAGGTGTTCTTAATTTTTTTACTAAATGTTCATATTTTTTTTTACTAAATGTTCATATTTTATAGGGAGTCATGTTGTTTGGGCGGGCTGTTGAAGAAATTTGGTTTGGGCCGTGCGAATTGGGCCGCGTGTCGTTGCAGCCAAGATAGCTGCATTAGAGTGCAGCCAAGACCAATTGATGTTATAGGTCATTCTGCTGTGCTGAAATATGTTTTGATTTGTTTTGCTCTGCTCACCTTGGGAATTGGTTTATTTGCTCTACTTGCCCAAAAGGTCAAAACAACAGGGCCCATTTAGTAATATTTTACTCACCTACCTTTGTTAAGACAAGACATTATGGACTTATTTGGAAATTAGTTGTTGCCTGCTGGTTGTTCTCCTAGGGTTAATCGATTATTCTAACTAGTCATTTGTATTTGTTTGTTAAGCTGATTATTTTACTGTTGGTTCTTAAATAAACAAGTTTGATGAAGTTGGCTGTTGGGATAGAATTGTATGTGCAGGTATAAAAAACCAACAAACAACATAAAAGGCTAATCTTACTAGCTTTTGGCAGAAAAGCTGGCTTTTTAGCCAACAAAAAAGCCAAATAACCAAACATATATTTTAATTGTTTCACCACGTCTAAAAGCCAAAAGTTATAGAAAAAGCCAACCGTCAAAAAAGCCCATAGTTTAGTACATAATAAACTAATTAATATTCATATTAAAAATTATAAGATAGGTTTTTTTCTTAAAAAAAAAATTAATGCAATTAGAGATCATGGTGGAGGTAGAGTTGCGTGAGAATTGACGGTGGATGACAAGGGTAAGGCCCCGTTCTTTAGAGCTGCTCTGCTTTGCTGAGCCCCCTCTGCTCAAATCAAATCTGCTTTACTCTGCTCAAAAGAAATATGCTCTGCTTTGCTCTATTTTCAAATAATAATTAATATTTATCGATGAAAATAATTTATTTTTTTGAATAATTATAATAACTATTAATATTAAAAATAATTTTAATAATTATTAATATTAATAATAATTAATATTTATTAACCATAATAATATTTAATAATTCAAACTATTATAAATTAATATTTAATAATAATATTAATTAATAATTTCTAATAATTATAACAATTCTTTCAAAAAAATAAATAATAATAATAACAATTAATAACAATGTATTTTTATAAACATTTGATATTTGAATCACAATGTGTAGAAACATTTTATGTGGGTATTGATTGTTAGTTCATTGAGTTGAATTATTTTTCAAATCTTTCCATACAATTTAAGAATAAAAAAAGAGAGGTTGTTTTCAAGTAGTACTTTGTATATTATTATAAATTTGAGGGTTAAAAATATATTTTAAAGACAAATTTATAAGTAAAATCATTATTACTCATTAAATCATTTTATTTTAAAATTTTAGTGAAATAAATATAAGTAAACCGTTGTCTTTTATCTTTCTACTATTAAGATATGTTAAATATGGTACACATTTTTTTATTTTTTCACTCACCCAAATCAATGGTATATGCACTTAATAATAATAATAATAATAATAATAATAATAATAATAATAATAATAATAATAATAATAATAATAATAATAATAATAATAATCGGCACAACGTTGTTCGTGACACCCTTGTTGATACTTCCTCCGTTTTCTTTTACTTGCAACACTTTCCTAAAAAGGAAATGTCACAATATTTGCAACACACTATAAAAGGAAAGTTACTATAGGGAAAAACTATACTATTTCCCTTATTTAAAGCACATGGCCCACTAAATTACACTCCTAACAACCACTCATCTTATTTTAAAGTTTATTATATCATGTAAACCCCACCTTTTCTTAATTACCGCGCTAAAGGGTGTGTTGCATCTAAAAGAAAACGGAGGAAGTATTTGTTTTCGGTCTGGGATTTCTGCTCGAAAGGAGGTTAACGTTGGGTTGACTGGAGGGAACGATGGGGCTCTTCGACCAGCAGATGTGTTGCTTTATTCCTGGGATAGAGGATTTGATGTATGTGTTGACTTGACGAGGTCTTCACCTTTAACGCAATCGAGGTTGTCTGACTTTGTTCCTTGTCGTGTTGTGTCGGCGGTGGCTCAGCGGAAGCGGGGCAAGTATAGGGGCACACTGCAGGGCTATTGGATATTGTAGGGAATAATTTCAAGCGTTAACCCCCATGCTTGAACCCCACTGTGATCATACACTAAAGTACGGTGGCGTCCAAAAGGGAAGAAGATAGAGCAAAAGAGTCGCCAACAAGTTTTAGGAACTTGTAAACCGTTCATAGGGTGAAGGTTACACCCCTTAACGATCCAAGAGATCGTCAACTCCATAAGGTCTTGTACCAAATAAGGGTTCGGGGATGAAGGTACAAATCCAACCTAAAAGAGATTGAACCTGCCCTAATAATAGGCCTCTACTTTATTCTGATCGTATTTATGTGTGCATTCTGATTAACATACAATCAATAGGATTAACCCTAAACCTGTTTATTTATGTAGGTTGAATTTAATGCACAAATAAAACTATTATTGGCGATCACTTGAATTATAATCATATTAACCCTAACAAGATTATTAATTATCTTATTAAGCGTGATTACAAGTACAAATTCCCTTTAAACATACATAAAAAGGTGTGATCAAGCAATAACAATAAGATATCAAGCAACACAATAATAATCAAAACAATAATTATAACAATTATAATCATAAAAATAATCATAATAATAATCAAACAATAATCATCATAATAATAATTATAATAATCATAATCATAATAATCATGTTAAAGCATAATAACAGCAAGATCCTAGACATGATACTAACAAGATTAATAACAAACCCTAGCATGTCACTAAACAATAAAGATCAAAACTTTAACCCTTACATGATACTAACAATAAAAAATATTAGGAAGAACATAAAGGCATCATACTTTTAATCATACTTGATATTAAAGTTACCCTAGACATGATACTAGGAATTTATTGTTGTCACCCTAAACATCAAATTAAGGAAAACATCCTAACATGATACTAGGAATCATAATAACCTAAGCATGATTTCTATATAATAATATCAATAAAAACCATTAAAGTACTTACTTGGATGCCTCGTACCTCTTTCTAATAACAAAATACACACGTTAGTAACTTCAAGGAAAATAATGAACAAAACAATTAAATTAAATAATTGAAAGAGAGATTTGGGACCAAACCCTCAGAAATTAAACCTTTCACGTCTAGGGCGAAGGCAACTTCGAATATGGCTAGGTGTTTCTAGATCTAATGAATGCGGAATTTTGTATGTAAAATCTAGTTTAGAAAAAGAGAGAGAGAGAAAGTAATCAAGAGAAAACTTAATGAGAATTGGTGAATGATTATTGAAAAATGGTTGTAGGTGAATGTGGATGAAAACTGGTTGTTGAAAACGGAGTTTTTAATACGTTATTTATAGAGAAAATCAGCCAAAAAGATAAAATATCCAAAACAGAGCATTGGCGCACATAAAACAGAACCAGCGCCAACGCTGGCTTATTGGCGCCAGGTGCCAACATTAGCGCCAGGCGCCAATGCTAGCGCCAAGCGCCAGGTTAGCGTTAGGCGCTAATCCTGTTTTTGACGCGTTTTCTAAAATCAGATAAATTTTGCCGTACAGGAGGATAAAATCGTATCTTTTCCTCAAAAATGTTCTTTGATTTTAATTAAAACTCTGAAAAGTCAATGAAAAGTCAATTTATCAATGCTAATTGAATTAGGAATGAAAAGAACCTTCTAGAAGAATCTAGCAGACTAAAACCATTCCTAATTGCATTAGGAATGATAAATCATATTAGGCCCTCCCCTAGATCATTGGGTCGTACATAAAGCTCAAACCGGGCCCAGTTTAGTAAATTGGTC